CATAATTATGTAGGATGCATCCAAAGGATGCAAGGATGGTTCAATATTTGCAAATGAATAAGCGTAATACATCACATAAACAAAAGGAATAACAAAAACCACATGATCATATCAATAGATGCGGAAAAAGCATTTGATAAAGTACAGCATCCATTTATGATAAAAACACTCAGCAAAGTGGGAGTACAGGAGCATACCTCAACATAATAAAGTTCCTATATGAAAAACCTACAGCCAACCTTATATTCAAAGGGCAAAACCTAAAAGTTTTCCCACTAAGATCAGGAAAAAAACAAAGTTCCACATTCACCACTTCTATTCAACACAGTATTGGAAGTCCCAGCCACAGCAGTCAGACAAGAAAAAGAAATAAAAGGCATCCAAATTGGAAAGGAGGAAGTAAAACTATCATCGTTTGCAGATGACATGATAATGTACATAGAAAACTCCATAGACTCCACCAAGGAGTCTATGACTCCTCAACCTAATGAACTACTCAACCTAATACTTGATTTTGGCAAAACAGCAGGATACAAAGTCAATATTCAGAAATCAAAGGTGTTTTTGAACACCAACAATGAAATAGCAGAATCAGAAATCCCATTTGCTATAGCAACAAGGCATATAAAATACTTAGGAATAAACTTAACCAAGGACGTAAAAGACCTAACTCAGAACACTATACAACACAGAAGAAAGAAAGTAAGGAAGAACACAAATAAATGGAAAAATATACCATGTTTCCATTAAGATTAAGTTAATCACATCTTCAATGAAAAGCCAGACTATTAGATGGCTGCGAGTTGGCTATTACTGTACAGGCAGAATTGCTGTAGTCTTCCCTGGCTATAAAGTAATCTGCTAGAGCATTGCCCAGAACACTGTGGTCCCACTGAACCAACTCAAGTATACTTGACACAAAGTAAGGAAGACACAAATAAATGGAAGCATATACCATGGATTACAAGAATTAACATCATAAAAATGTCCATACTACCAAAAGCAATTTTTAGATTCAATGCGATCCCTATTAAAATATCAATGATGTATTTCAGAGATAGATAACAAACATTTAAAAATTTATATGGAACCATAAATGACCCCAAATAACCATAGCAATTTTGAGAAAGAAGAACAAAGTAGGGGGGATCACAATACCTGACATCAAACTATATTACAAGGCCATTGTAATCAAAACAGTCTGGTACTGGCATAAGAACAGACACATAGATCAGTGGAACAGAATTGAGAGTCCAGGAAGAAACCCATGTCTCTATGGTCAATTAATATTTGACAAAGGGGGCAGAAGCATACAATGGAATAAATATAGCCTCTTCAACAAATGGTAGTGGGAGAGTTGGACAGCTATATATAAAAAATTGAAATTCAACTATCAACTTACACCATACCCAAAAATAAGCTCAAGATGGATAAAAGACTTAAATATAAATCACAACACCATAAAAGTCCTGGAGGAGAACACAGGCAGGAAACTCTCAGATATCCCATGCAGCAATGTTTTCACGGATATATCCCCTAGTGCAAGGGGTCTAAAGGAAAGAATAAACAAATGGGACTTCATCGAAATAAGAAGCTTCTGCATGGCTAAAGAAAAAATCAGCTAAATGAAAAGGGAACCAACCATATGGGAAAACATATTTGCCAATAATACCTTGGACAGGTGTTTGATCTCCAAAATGTGTAAAAAACTCACAGGACACCACTCAAGGAAAACAAATGATCCAATTTTAAAATGGGCAAAGCACCTGAATAGACACTTCTCCAAGATGGACATACACAGGACTCAGAGACATAAGAAAGGATGCTCATTGTCACTAGCCATCAGAGACATGCAAATTAAAACCACCATGAGATACCACTTCACATTGGTCAGAATGGCCATCATAAACAAATCAACAAACAAGTGCTGGCAAGGTTGTGGAGAAAAGAACCCTCGTACACTGTTGGTGGGAATGCAGACTTATGCAGCCATTTCCTCAAAAAGATAAAAGTGGAACTACCTTTTGACCCAGGAAATCCACTACTAGGATTATACCCTAAGAATCCCAAAACACCGAATCCAAAGAACCCAATGTTCATAGTAGCGCAATTTATAATAGCCAAGTGCTGGAAGCAATCTAAGTGCCCATCAGTAAATGAGTAGATCAAAAAACTATTGTACATATACACAATGGGATACTATGCAACCGAAAGAAAGAGGTACTATCCTTTACAACAGCATGGATGGAGCATTATGATCAGTGAAATAAGCCAGGGGGTGAAAGAAAAATATGATATGATCTCACCTATAAATGGAACCTAATCAACAAAACAAACAACAAGGAAAATATAACCAGCAACATTGAAAGAAAAAACAAATGGACAGTAAGGAGAGAGAAGGAGGGTGGTGGGTAAGGGGGAAAAAGGGGGGAAAGGTCAAATCAAGGAACATGTATAAAGAACCCACGGACAAAGCCAAAGTGGGGAAGGAATGAGGGTGGGAGGCGGGGGTGGGTGGCGCACAGGAAAGTGATGGCTGGTAAATGGAGACAAATGTATTTGAACAATTAAAAAAATGAAAATCAAATCCTGACATGATGTTATACTCAGCTGGAAAACACATGCTTTACATTATTGTCCCATCAGTTCTAGAGTTCCTGGCATATGTCACTGAAGTAGACCGACTCTATTTTTTTTTTCAGTCATTCTCTGTTATTGCTTTTGACTTAGATAAATGACCTAATTAACTATTGGAAAACCTTTTGTAGACTTTATTTGTAATTGTTATTTAAAGTGATAGATGTGAAAGACTGTCAAAATAAATTTAGCACTGTACTTTTCAAAAAAGGATAATTCCTTTGAAAATAGTAATGAAAGGATAATATAATCCCAAATATAAAAAGGGATAAGATCTATGAACTCATGGATGGCATTCATCTGCCAAGACAGGGAGGTCTGTTTCAGGAGCTAACTGGTTTTACTGGCTTGTGTGCTGAGTACACTTGAGTTGCTTCAGTGGGACCAAAGTGTTCTGGGCAATGCTCCTGCAGATTACTTTTATAGCCAGGGAAGACTACAGCAATTCTGCCTGTACAGTAATAGCCAACTCACAGCCATCTAATAGTCTGGCTTTTCATTGAAGATGTGATTAACTTAAATGACCTGAATGTTAATTATATATTTAATATATGTACTACATAAATAATATTTCTGAACAAATATTTTGCCTTATAAAAACTAATTTTAATTGCCTATACATGAGTTATGGCAGCTTTTAGCCAATATAGAGATTAATAAACCACACAATAAGTGCAAATCTGCATTTTGAACAAAAAGCATGTTTAAGAGGATTGTAGTATTAATTACAAGAGTTAGATCTTTAGAATTTGAGAAGCAGCATGATCTGATGGAGCAAACTCACACTTTGGGAGTCATTCTGATGGCCTTTGAATCCTACCTTTTTTATTTTCTAATCATCTGAGGCTACAAAAGTTATTTAATCCTTCTAAATCTATTTCTTCACCTGTAAAATGGGGGCAATAACCACCTTGAAACCTTTCAAAAATCCAATTAGAAACATATGTGAAAGAGTGCCTGCCTCACAGACCGGCAGAAAAATTTTCTCAACCTTCTATCCAACTTTGCCCTTCCTGCCAGTTGGGGGGTGAGGTGGGGAGAGCAAAACACTAGTGCTTCTCATAATAATAGTCAAGGGCTTCCGTAAAAAAAAATTCCATATATAAAAGGATTACCAAGATAGTACTTTATAGGCAGTGAGTGGGTCTACCTTCAACCAGTTTAATAATCATCTTGATTGTTACTATTCTATAGTAACAATCTCAAAGCACAAAACTTGTAGGTTTCTGTAAGTATTGTAATGAAACCACACCATTTGCATAAATAGCAAAAAGACCCAGGACCCTGAAGAAATTCTTTTATTCTGTGAAGAAAAACATGATATTTGAACTCAGATCACTAAAAAGTTATATATTGGAATCCATTACATATTAAGTGGGCATTTTGTGTTCGGCTTCCCAGGACTTAAACCCTGGGAAAGACTTCAGGATGAAAACCTTATTTAGGAACAGACTTTTGAGCCAGGTTAGTTCTAGTGCTTGTTCATTTCAAACTCCAAGTGGTATCTGAAGACGTTCAATTGACCAGGGATGATGATAAAATAGGCACGGAGATGACATGTGACCACCAAGTGAGCCGCTTACGTGGAAGCAGAAAGGAAGAGGCAATAGAACAGAAGGCTTCCCTTGGGGGCCCGGTAGCCTTCTTGCTGTGCTGTCTCCAGGGTCCACTTCATACTCCTCGAAAGCCTCAATCCACGAAAAGGATAGAGCTTGGAAGAGGCTGCTCAAAAATCACCCTCCCGCCACGTCCCGATTGGTCCCCGCCCTGGAGAGGCCCACTGCTCGCCCCTGACCTCACGGCACCAAGAGTCAAGGAAAGCGTTATTTCTGCACCTTAAATGCTATCAGGGCCTATTTAGATCCTCGGGATCGAGCATACACGGTGCAGTCACTAACAGGTATTACTTCTGAAGCATGTGCGTCTACTCAGGATTTGAGGAAATTCTTCAGAAACCAGCCACGATCGGGGGACGAAGACTGTCCATGAAGGCAAAGTTCTCTCAGTAATGGGCGCCCGGGAGAATACCTGGGGGCTCTTTCTTATCAACTCCCAGTCCCCAAGCCTGATTTGTCTTTGTCAATTCATCCCTAAAGATAATGTCGAAGTGGGAGGAGCACAGTTTTAAGAACAAGCGCGGAGGACCCTTGAGTGTGACAGGACGGAGACACCATAACCCATCAATAATGAGAAACACTCAAGAGGAACAGCAAAACGAGAAAACTCCCACGCGCAGGCGCAAGGACGACCCCACCGCCCTCCTGGCCGTCACGCCCTCTGCCCCGCCCCTGCCCTGCCCCGCCATTAGCCCCGCCCCCTTCCAGGCCCAGCTCCCGCCCGGCGCCCGCCCGCCGATCCTCCCTTTTTCAGCCCAGGCCTGTTTCACTTCAGGCTGTGCTGTGCCCTCCCAGCCTGGAGTGTCGCTGTACCGGCCTCTGCGCTCCACAGGGCACCTCCGGCGCTCCAGTAGAGGCTAGAAGCGGAGAGGCGGGGTGAAGGGTGGTGTCGCCGCGGTTTAGGGTCTACAGGAGGCCTGGGCGTCAGTGGTCATTGCGTGATGGCCGCCTCGGTGTTTTGCTGCCTGCAGTGCTGCAGAGACGGCGGAACGGGACACATTCCTCTGAAGGAGATGCCGGCCGTGCAGTTGGACACCCAGCACATGGGTAAGGGCCCTCCTTTCTTCAGGCTCAACGGCCCACCGGGGTTGGGCGCCGCAGGCAGGTCGGGGGCAGTGCGGGATCAAAAGGACCACCAGCGGCGCGGCCCTGCTCGGCCGGGCGCCGCCCCCGCTCCTCCTACGGCGACGTAGCCTTGACCGCATTTGGTCTTCTGGATCTCTTCCGGATCTCTTCCAGACGCAGGTGGACTCCACCTCGGCCCAGTTCTGTGCTTAGGGTTACGCAGCGCCTGTGATCGGGAGGTGGGTGCTTGGACCTACCCATTTTCATTGCAGTTTCGCAGGAAACTCATCGGAGCTGCTGCCGCCTGAGGCTCTTCCGAGGTGCCCAGGCGTGGGGCGCGGGGAGCGATCTGGTGCTCTTACAACAGCGCTCTACTGTCGAGCTCCAATCAAAACCTATACATTTTCAGAGTACTTTTGGTGTGATCTCCGCTCTTTCTGCCCTGACAGTTTTCTCTTTAGCCCATCATTTATAGGTTGAAGCTTGTTTTATTGGAAGTGATTTTCCTCTCACCTGAAATCAAAATAAAACTAATTGCAGAAGCCTGAAGTCACATCTCAGATCACAGCCTGCCATTTCAGCTAAAACCTCCCATTACCTGACTCCTTAGTCACTGTTAATGGTGTTGTAATTTCATCTGACTGGCTTCTTCCCAACAGGTTAGGCTACTGCAAAGTAAAAAAGCACTTTGCTCTGTTGTGTCTGTGTTTTTTCCTCCCTATTTAAAATGGGCATAAAACTTCTAAGATTCTTCCTCTCCCCTCTGTAGCCTCTTTTGCCACATTATTCCTGTCCCTAGACTTTTCCCATATAGTTCCATGTTTCTGGGATTTGGTTCTAGAAGCCGAGATTTTCCACTATAATTATTTCAGTTACAGTACTGTCTTTTTAAAATGTATTATTCTATTCTAAATATATTTCAGCAGTTTCAATTTGTCCCATGTCTCTCATTGGCTAAAGGACAGTATTAAAATAGCAAAGGCAATTCTTAATATTTATACCAAAATCCTCTCCTGCCCAGATTCTTTATAATTCTGGAAACATTGTCCATTATATTTTTGTATTTCAGTAGCCATATACTAAACCACAAGAGTGATAATTGTATACCACTTTGTACGTGGGTATTTATTTTCAATTCTTGGATTTTTCCAAGTACAACACAGAACCTTAATACATAAATATGTGTAGGTATGTATGTGTGTTTCTTTAAATTATGCTACTTTTTTTAATTATGTGTTTCTTTAAAGTAGCTACTTTGAAAGGGATGACACATATTTGTAAATGTCTAATGTTTCTTAAAACATTATCCATTATTATTTAAGATGTTCAAATCCTGCAATTTCCCACAGAAAATGTTTCCTTTTCATCTATTCATTCAACTGATATTTACTGAGTGAGTATTAGGTGACAGGCATTGTTTTCCATGCTGGGAACACAGTAAAGGGCAACCATGTGTACTTACTGGAGCTTATGATCAGCGTTAGCTCTTTCTATCTACTGCCAAAACTCTGATTTACTTCAGTCTGCTTTTTGGAGCATTCCTTTTCTCTGGTCTCTTCTCTTTAAAGAGCTGGTCAGTTGTACTCATTACACTGACTTTTTCCAAAGCTGCCTAGCAACTTTCAGTAAAATAATGTCATCTCCAAATTTTCTACCTGCATGGAAATATTTTCTTAACCATTCTTCCAGTAAGTTCAGATTCTTCAGTCACAGAAGAAACCTGATTTTAGAAACTGAATAACATGAAAGAAAGGAAAGACGTTGTTGAGTTAGGAGTGTTTTTCAAGCCTAAATTCGTCTGAAGTTGAAAATATGAGAAGCACAGTGAGCAAGTATGCATGTCTTTGGATATGTGAAACGTTGTATTAAGTAACCTAAAGAATGTGATTGCTTTTTCTAAAAAAGATAGTACTTTTCATATACAAATGGATGTTCTCTCGAAGTTGTCACTTATTTTGGTGATGTTATGTTGTTTAAAACCATTTTGGAATTCCTCTTTTCGGATTTTCTGTGGCATAGTTTTTGTAAATATTTGTATTTTTGGCCAGTCTTCTGCATTTGTGAATTGACTTTTTAGAAATGAATGCCTTCCAAAGTAGCTACTTTGAAAGGGATGACACATATTTGTAAATGTCTAATGTTTCTTAAAACCATACTCTTTGACAATGTTTATATGTGCTGTGACTGGACTCAAATTTGCCTTGACTTTCTAATTAATGAAACTACACAAATTTCATAGCCAACTATAGGATATCTTTGTTTTTAAAGAAGTGGAACATGCTTAAAATAATTTCATAATGATTCATGGGGAACTCTAGAATGTTCCCTGAATATCTCTCTATATGAAACATCTCTATCCCTAACAGAAGGCCTTGGATATATGAAATGATATTTAAATTCGAGAATAATACTGTGCTCAGATTTGTTTCTGTGGTTCCAGCTGAGAATAGACTCTACTGTATTGACGGTCTTCTATTAACTTCCATTAACCTAACACCTTAGGATGATATCCAAGATACTAAGTTATCTACTATAGAAGCTTGGTGTAGAAGCTTAAGAGGTTTTAGTATATATGGGAACCACAGAGCATTGCCAGTTAAGAAAAAAAATACCATTTATTTGCATAATTCTTTAAAATGTGTTTCACTTAGGATGCTTTTAGTTACAAGTAGCAAAAACTGTAACTCAGAATTGTTTAAACAGTGAGTGAAATATACTGGTACATGTAACTGAAAAAAATACAAAAGCAGCTCAAGCTTCAGGAAAGACTCTGCTGCTGAGGACTGGGTTTCTTTTCTTCTCTTCCTTGTACTGTTTATTCCTTCATGACTTGCAGCGGCTTCCTGGGCTTCCTCATTCAGGTCCAGCAAGAATGAGTGTCTTTACCCCTTCATTTTCTGCCAAAGTCCTGAGACTGTCTCTGATTTTAGTGGCTTAGGTCATGTAACTGTTTTTCACTCAGTCACTGTAGCCAAGAAATGTGGAATGCACTGATTGACTTGACTTAGGTCAAAGCTGTGTCCCTGAAACCAAGAGATTGAGTCAGCTTCCTTGGAATTGTTTTGATCTCCAGAGGAAAGGCTTTTGGGAAAAGGAAAACAGATGCTACATGTCCACTCCAAAGTGCTTAGCAGAGCATATTTATTCATTCATTTCTGTATCAGTTATTTGTTGAGCATCTGCTAGATGCCAAGCACTACATGGTCTTTGCCCTCAGGGAAGAGCTGAGTCCTGGGTGCTCTCCAGTTCAAACTGCTGGAGGCATATTTGGAAGCCAGATGTAAATTATTTCTAAAGGCACTTACTCAGAATTTGGAGGTTAACATAATGAGAAAAAAAATGAATGCTAGTAAATTTTTAATAATCATAAAGGATTTTAGTTTTACCTTATTTAAGAGTGTATGTGATAAAGTCTGAAAATTTGGAATTGTGATTGATGCTGAAATTTTGCATGTCTATTATGCATTTATCCCAAACAATTGTTATTTAAACATGAATTCAATAGCTAGTTGATGGGATTAGTGCCTCCCTGTTCATACCTTTTGTACTATGCCCTAGTTTTATTTAACCCTCTCAGAAGGAGTCCTTGTCTAGTTCTAATAGCCAGATCTGCTTGCCTTATACACTTATCAGTTTAGTGGTAATACTGGCCACAGATCTTGGGAGTTGCGTGCCTCGGTATTATGGGATATTTCGTACATATTAGAGTAATGTTAAGTCTCTTCATGTTCCCTGATACACATTCTTAACCTAATCAGTGTTTGGAAAAGAATTGGTATTGAGGTCACATTATCAAGAGACAGTTTTTTCTCAGCCTCATCTATCAAATGTTATTTGAACTAAACAAAATTTTCTTGAGAATAAAGTGTTTTTAGTGATGTTAAAACCATTTTTACATTTTTGCAATATGATTGACAGCAGCTATCTTACAAACATTTTTAAGATCCTAAAATTAGCATTTTTCAGTGTTAGCTATTTCAAGAACAAAAACATGTTTCTGTCCGTATTCTGCATACTACTTCACTAATGCACTAGCACAGTACTTTATATCTAGTAGATATTCAGCCAGTTTTTAGTAGTTTTAATTTATTTGTCTTGAATTGAAAATTAACTAATTTACCAAACTTTCTAAGTGTTTATGCTTTCATTTCAATTAAGAGATTTATGAAACTATCAAATTGACTTATTGGCTAAAAATTAAAGTCTATTTATATTTTTAAAGTATTTAAAATATTCTACATAATTCAGAGTTTGAAACCTAATTAAACAGGATTTCTAGCTACTAATGAATATTAAATATAAATGTCCTCTCAGGAAAAAAATTGTGAATTAAGTATTTAAATATAATTTATTATTTCCATATTTCAAAGTACAAGTAGTATCCTTATTTTTTGTGGACCAAGAGTTAAAGTGAGACAGAAATTAACCTTCATTGTCGAATAAGAAAATATAAAACTTTACACAGTGTCTGTATTTTTTTGTTTAGGAACAGATGTTGTTATTGTAAAAAATGGAAGAAGAATATGTGGAACAGGAGGTTGTTTAGCCAGTGCACCATTACATCAAAACAAAAGCTACTTTGAATTCAAAATCCAGTCCACAGGTTGGTATAATGGTACTTTATTTTTAGAAGTCCAATTATTCTAAATATTAGGAGTGATTTTCAATGTATGAAAAGATTTAATGAGGTAATAAAAGAACTCTAAACTTACTTAGAAGACATTTTCTTTCACATCTTATTGTGTGATTTTGGTTTAATTAGTTAATTAAATTAGGTTCAACTTTCTCATCTATATGAGCTATATTTTGTGAAAGTGTTTTAAAGACAAGACATACTAGATCATTGTAAGGATCTAACAGTATTATTACTATAATTAATTATTAATGGCAGGTGCACTATTTCGTTTGGTTGAGCATATAAAGTATAGATTCTTATTATTTATCTTAGAATAAAATCAACCTTATGATCCCAAATTTTTCTCTTAACTCTTGTTAAGATACCCTGTTATATGAAGTAATCAGCAAATTTAGAATTCTGATAGAAGTCTAAAGTCTCTGCTTTCTTTAAAAGTTTATGGAGTTTCTTGAATTGTATAATAATTCTACATGAGTATTATAAGAGTTAACTATCGGTTAACTTGTGGCATTATTGAATATAGGGAAAAACTTTTTAAAAGCTTTATTAAGAAGAAACTTCTAGTGAAATACAGCATGAGTGATAGAGGTACAGAATAGGAAAACTGGAGTGGAGTAAATCAATCCTACTCTTACCTGACTGGTTTGAATGATATAAAACATTCCTCTGGAGCTTGTTTTCTAATTAGTTTTAGACACTGATCTTCTTAAGTATATGCAATAAATATAATCCGTCCTCCATTTAACTCTTTTATAAGTTTATTCACTGCAAAATGTCTCTGGCTACTGTGATCTTTTGAAGTATAACATACCTTTTTCAAGAGAAGCAAATATTTTCTTGAGCCTTAAATCTAACAAGTTTTTATGTGAATTTTCTGTAAAGGATGATACCCCTAGGATAAATGTGCTTCTGGGGTTTGTAGCATTGATCTCAATGAAAGCTTGAGACAGTTGTGCCAAAGTGTATCATCACAGCATGCATAGTTCTTTAGGAGTAAGAGACTCTATAACCCTATTTAGAACTGTTGTCCTTTGAAATTAATTGTATTACTGCTTGTCACTCTTTAAATTGTCCTACTTTGGACGATAAATTCTAATAGTCAAATTATTTAAGACAACAGTACAGTAAAGTTCAGAAATGTAGTTTTTGAAGGTCTCAGTCAACCCAGAACAATTGACAACATGGTCCTCAGATCTTTTTATTTTTTAATATGTATATATTTTATTGATTATGCTATTACAGTTGTCCTGTTTTTTTTCTCCCCTTCTTTCCCCTCCGCACTGCACCATCCTCCAACCAGCATCCTCCATTGCTTAGTTCATGTACATGGGTAGTTCATATAAGTTCTTTGGCTTCTCCATTTCTTAACCTCCCCCTGCCTATTTTGTACCTACTATTTATGCTGCTTATTCCCTGCACCTTTTCTCCCATTCTTCCCTCTCCTAAACCCTCTGATATCCATTTCTGTGATTCTGTTCCTGTTCTAGTTGTTTGTTTAGTTCGTTTTTCTTTTTGTTTTGGTTCAGTTGTTGGTAGTTGTGAGTTTGTTGTCATTTTACTGTTCATAGTTTTTGATTTTTTTTAGATAAGTCTCTTTAACATTTCATATAATAAGGGCTTGGTGATGATGAACTCCTTTAACTTGACCTTATCTGGGAAGCACTTTATCTGCCCTTCCATTCTAAATGATAGCTTTGCTGGGTAGAATAATCTTGGATGTAGGTCCTTATCTTTCATGACTTTGAATACGTGTTGCCATCCCCTTCTTGCCTGCAAGGTTTCTTTTGAAAAATCAGATGATAGTCTTATGGGAACTCTGTAGGAAACTGCCTCCTTTTCTCTTGCTGCTTTTAAGATTCTTTCCATATCTTTAATCTTGAATAATGTAATTATAATGTGCCTTGATGTGTCCTTCCTTGGTTCCAATTTCTTCGGGACTCTCTGAGCTTCCTGGATCTCCTGGAAGTTGATTTCCTTAGCCAGGCTGAGGAAGTTTTCCTTTATTATTTTTTCATAAGTTTTCAGTTTCTTGCTCTTCCTCTCCTCCTCTGGCACCCCTATGATTTGGATGTTGGAACATTTTAAATTGTCCCAGAGGTTCCTAAGCCTCTCCTCATTTTTTTGAATTCTTGTTTCTTCATTCAGTTCTAGTTGGATGTTTATTTCTTTTTTGTTCCAAATCGTTGATTTGAATCCTGGTTTCCTTCCCTTCACTGTTGGTTCCCTGTATTTTTCTTTATTTCACTTTGCATAGCCTTCACATTCTCCTCTGTTTTGTGACCATACCCAACCATTTCTGTGAGCATCCTGATTACCAGTGTTTGAACTCTGCATCTGATAGGTTGGCTATCTCTTCATTGCTTAGTTTTATTTTTTCTGGAGTTTCAATCTGTTCTTTCATTTGGGCCCTGTTTCTTTCTCTCAGCACTCCTGTTAAGTTGTAAGGGGCAGAGCCTTAGGTATTCACCAGGGCAGGGCAACCCATGTAGCTGCGTTGTCACTGTATGTGGTGGAGGGGTTAGAGAAAGAACAATGCTGATTGTCCAGCTCTCTGCAGGCTTTCCGTCACTTCCCCCACTGAAAATTGGGCCCTTCCGGTGCTGATTCCTGGGTGGGCAGGTTTGTGTATGTTCTAGGACCCCGTGGGTCTCTCCAGTGAACTCTGCTGTGAGGCTAGGAGTTTCTCCCGCTGCCACAACTCCACAGGTTTTTACAGTCAGAGGTTTTGAGGCTATCTTTTCCTGCACTGGAACCCTGGGTTGCACCGTCTGTCTCGCTCCACAGTTGTTCCTCCCAGCTTATCCACATGAAAATGTGGGACGGCCAACCACCTTCCCTGCTCTGTCCTCCAGCCACCGCCTTGCTGCGTGTCTACCCTGGCTGCCCATCTCCACCCCTCTTACCAGTCTGGATGAATGTTTCTTCTTTACCTCCTTGGTTGTCACACTAACTATACAGTTCGAGTTTCTGGCAATTCTGGTTGTTTGTTTTTTTGTAATTTGTTGTTGCCCTTGTTTTGGTTGTGCGAGGAGGTAAACTGTTATCTACCTACACCTCCATCTTGGTCGGAAGTCTCAGATCTTCCATTTATAGAATTTGTCCTACCTGGATAAAAACTGGAAGGAGACAGTTTGAGACAAAGTCCAGACATCTAGGTATTCTATTTGGCTGGATAAGAGGAGAAGTGCTAGCTTTAAAAGTCAGCTTAAGGCAAAAGGTTTTAAATTCACTAATTTAGGCAAAAAATCAGCAAATGATTTTACACTGTATCAGTAATTTTCTCCTTTCCATGATATTTTTTTTAATTTTATTTTAATTTATTTTTTCAAATACATTTGTCTCTGCCTACCCTCCACCACTTTCCTTTACCCCCTCCCTCTTTCCCTCCCTCAGCTCTTCCCCTTTGGTTTTGTCCATGAGTCCTTGCTATATGTTCCTTGACTTTCCCCTTCCCTTCCTTTTCCCCGCCCACCCTCCCTCCTTCCCTCTTGTCTCTGTTGATTTCTTTTCCTTTCAGTGTTGCTGGTCATATTTTCCTTGCATCTTTGTATTGTTGGTTAGGTTCCGCTTATAGGTGAGATCATATGGTATCTGTCTTTCGCCCCCTGGCTTATTTCGCTTAGCATAATGCTCTCCAGTTCCATCCATGCTGTCGCGAAGTTTAGTAGTTCTTTTTTGCTCTCTGCTGCGTAGTATTCCATTGTGTATATGTACCATCACTTTTTGATCCAATCATCTACTGATGGGCATTTAGGTTGCTTCCAACACTCGGCTATTATAAATTGTGCTGCTATGAACATTGGGGTGCATAGGTCCTTTTGGCGTTTTGGTGTTCTAAGGGTATAGTCCCAGCAGGGGAATCAGTGGATCAAAAGGCAGTTCCATTTTCATCTTTTTGAGGAAATTCCACACTGCTTTCCACAGTGGCTACACCAGTCTGCATTCCCACCAACAGTGGACTAGGGTTCCCTTTTCTCCACAGCCTCGCCAGCACCTGTTGTTTGTTGATCTGTTTATGATGGGCATTCTGCCCGGTGTGAGGCGGTACCTCATGGTGGTTTTGATCTGCATTTCTCTGATGGCTAGTGATGCTGAGCATCCTTTCAAATGCCTCTGGGCCCTCTGTACCTCCTCCTTGGAAAAGTGTCTGCCCAGGTCCTTTGCCCATTTTTTGATTGGATCGTTTGTCTTCTTGGAGTGGAGTCAAGTGAGTTCTTTATATATCTTGAAGATCAAACCTCTATCTGATGTATCATTAGCGAATATATTTTCGCATATGATTGGCTCCCTTTTCATTTTGCTGATGTTTTCTATTGCCGTGCAGAAGCTTCTTATTTTGGTGAGGTCCCACTTGTTTATTCTTTCCTTGATGTCCCTTGCTTTAGGAGACATATCCTGAAAAAATTGCTGCGTGGGATAACTGAGAGTTTCCTGCCAATGTTCTCCTCTAGGACTTTGATGGTGTTGCGACTTATATTTAAGTCTTTTATTCTTTTTGAGTTTATTTTTGTATATGGTGTCAGCTGATGATCCAATTTCAATTTTTTGCATGTAGCCGTCCAGCTCTCCCAAAACCATTTGTTGAAGAGGCTATTATTGCTCCATTTTATGCTTCTGCCCTCTTCGTCAAATATTAGATGCCCATAGAGACCTGGGCTCATTTCTGAGCTTTCTATTCTGTTCCACTGGTCTATGGGTCTGTTCTTGTGCCAGTACCAGATTGTTTTGAGTAGAGTGGCTTTGTAGTAGAGTTGATGTCCAGTATTGTGATCCCTCCTACTTTGGGTTTCTTTCTCAAAATTGCTGAGGGTATTTGGGGTCGTTTATGGTTCCATATAAATTTTTGAAATGTCTGTTCTATTTCTGTGAAATATGTCATTGGTAACTTAAGAGGGATTGCGTTGAATCTATAAATTGCTTTGGGTAGTATGGACATTTTGATGATACTAATTTTTCCAATCCATGAG